AAGTTCATGAGAAATCTGCACGTAAGTTGATCCACTAAGAAAACCTAAGTGGTGAATAAAACAGATAATAAAATTTTCACTAGTGACCAAAACTATCAAAAATGAAGGCTTTACCCTTGAAAGTAAGGCGTAGCGTTATTGTTACATGAAAGGCATTCTTGTCGGGATTTTCACAAACAAACAAGAACATTTCACGCTGGTGTCCGAAACTGTTTTACCGAAATTTTCGCAGAATAATTAAAACCGACTTCTTTATCGAATCATAAGCAAATAAAAGTCGTTGACTAAACATGGGACCGCAGCCAGTTTTGTCAGCATGCTCGAAGAAAATTAGGGTTAGCTGAGAATCCTATTGCAGCTGGGTCATCATGTGTAAGTCCACACTGTATTATCTCCAGACCGAAACGAAGAAGAATCTGAGAAAACATAATCCCTTGACATCAATTTGTGACCTGAGTGTAATTATTCAGTGGAACTTCACATCACTATGGGACGATAATACAGTTTCTCGAAAGGTTTGTAATGGTGCGAAGGCGGAAGATGATATACGGGATGGGGATTTTGGACGAATCAGAAAGCAAATCGAACTAGAGATACTCACATAGTGATTAATGTCTGCATCACACATATTCAGTACTTCATAAAGATATTTTCTGTGACATCTTTCTAACCGAGGATTCCAAAGCAAGTAATATCTGTAATCAGAAATTAAGGGCTTCGGAGATATATGTTGTAAATGGTTGATGTATAGAGGAGTACATGATTTAAGCTGACTAGCTACTATGAGGGGTGAATAACAGCATATCTGATCATGATCTAGTGAGGTTTCTTGACTGAGCGCCTCTAGCTGAGGAGTGTTCAGCAAAACCAATGACCTCACCGTCAATGTCAAATATTAACAGGACTATTTATCTAAGGGATTTGTTCACTGCTACATGTTTAAAACGCTTAGGAAATTAGCGCCAGGTTCTGAATTGGTTAGAAAAACTATTTACAAAATAGGTTTGTCGTGCCTATCTTCACGAAAGTAGTAATAAGTTAAACACAAAATAGGAATATTAAAGAGCTCTGTCGAATCCTAAAGGGTTAAAAAACAGATCAACTGCACTCCAACGACCTTGTAAAAGAATAAAATGTGATTACATACAATATTAAAACAACGGACAACAATTATCCGTATTCAGACATTAACTCGAGCCGATATGGCAATAGAAGTTAAAAATTGATTACTGTGAGGTTCTAAGTGCATCAAAAACAAGTTAGCTAAACATGGCCTCGTCTAGAAATACTGTCCTCTCCACTGTCTTCCTAACAATGAGCCTCATCAGACCTTAACGCACCTACAGCAGACTAGAAAAGTCTTAGAAATGGATTGTCAGAAAATTATTTTTGTCGAAAGCACGCTGATGTGGTTATCGTATGTGCCCCTGAGCATTATATGAAATAAGCAACTAGATACGACCTGGACTACATCTTTAATAGATCTCGTATTGACCCATTATGAAAATGACGTCACAAGCTTCTGTTATATGCTACCCTTAGGTAAGAGTGACCATGAAGTTCCACTCCTTAATATTTATATCTCTGTTAACAAAGATGTACCAGCTTAAACGAAACACGCTTGAAAAGCTAATATACAGGAAATCATGCACTCAGAATCCTCAAGGGAATAGACAACAAAACCAGAATCCCTCACTGAAACGGTTTAGGAGGTATTCAGAAATTTATGCATAAAAGTTATTGCACCTCACATCCCTCGGACTACACCAAGGAATGTGCGAAACGTTTAACTGTGGTTCAGTGAGGAAGTATAACGACTTAAATTGAATGGTTAACCATAATCATCAACTGTAAATGAGTATTCTAACTGCAATCAGTAGGTGTCCACTCTCAATGTCACTTTAGTGACTTTACTTTAATAATAATTATATATTTCTGCATGTGCAGGTACAAACCGTTTTTACAGGCATGATCTATAAATTACAACATTTGTTGGTTCGCAAAATGCTTCCCAACTTATTAAGTTTATAGTTGTTATAAAGTGAAATCGTAGAGCGCTTGCTGTAAACTATGACCTTGAGAGGGTGCGTACGTCAAGTTTGCTCCAAACGTCAGAAGTTTCATAGCTGTGACTATATCTTTTGTTATCTTTTTTTCTATCCGACGCCAGCCACACAATCCTAGTGTAAAGTCCGAGTTAGCATGTTATAGGTTGTCTTAGTAGAATAGCTAATCCAGCATAATATTGGAAACATGAGTCTGAGTGGTGAGCGTAGGAAGACAATCTATATCACAGATTGGTTAACTTATTCTCAATCATGAGGAGCCTGATACATATAAAATGTTCTGTACCCACAAACACGGGTGCATTGAAGTTATCGCCCTCACCATCAATGCTTGCTGGTCAGTAACTCCACCCTCCCTCCTTTTGTGATGTTAGGCTCATTTAGGCTTATTTGTGGATATATGTCATACCTCGCTCAATCCTCTGTTGGAAAATACTATTTCTATTCCACAGGGTTATCAGGCAGTTACAAGTTATGGACTGTGGGTAAGGCATCGACGCAGTGCTTTAATTGATTACAGTATAAAGTATAGTTCGCCAGTTAGAGTATAAGCATTTAAAAGAGTATAATGTAGGATAGTTATTTACCAAAGCAGGTGGAGAAGTATAGAACTTTATGAGTTGTAGATAAGGTAACGAGTGGAGAAATAATATTAATTGCTAGTCAACATAGTGTGCAGAAGAGTAAAACGTTAATACACGATAAACAGGTAGAAACTCACAGTAACTTGGTGCTGATGTTATTTTGTGTTGTCCTAACCAGTTGATTGGTAACAGGCCCCATAGATGCAAGACCACTGGTAGTAGGCAGCCGATTGTCGGGTCCTCTTGACTTTTTAGGGTGGTAGTGAGTGTCCCTTATCAACCGAGTTTAGTTTAACAGTAATGATAGGTCCAGTGAGTTACCTGTCTACTTCAAGTGAAGAAATGGGGTGGAAAAAGTAATTAATACAACTGCAATGTAGGAAAAATAAGGCAAACTGAACTTGAAGTCCATTTTGGTTTAAACATGGAGAGAGCCTATGATGTCTGAGTGGGGCACAGATGTGTTCGTACGTGCAAGATCAGTGCAAGTGAGGGTTTGATCAAGCAGTTTTACAAACGTATGTAATTCATCTGCCATGCGTATTTCGGAGGGAAGACTGTCCCATATTATCGCATACTTGGTGATGAAGAAGTTTTCCCGAGTTTTTGATCTGTATTCCTCAACCTTGTTTCGAAGTTCGTATTCATGTGAATCTCGGGCAAGAACTATCTTACATGTTGAATAAGTAAGGTTTTTGAGTAGTTTAAAGTAGAGAACCAAATTAGATCTAAGCCTTCTCTCTCAAAGGGGTGCTATTCTTAAGACTTGGCATCGGGTACTGTAGTCAATGACTGAGTCAGTCTTAAGTACTTTGCGGGTGAAGTCTCGTTGTATTCCTTCCACCTTTACTATATCAGATAGGCGTAGGTTGGAAAATAAGAACGAGCAGTATTCAATGATCGGTCTTACACAAACTTTATAAAGAAGGATTTTAGCGAAGCGTATATCTCAGAGATACCTTTCCCATAGGTTTATACAAGCCTTCCCATACTCTGTACATTATGATCGTTGAAGAACTATGCATCTTCGGTTTTCTAAATAAGCCTGACATCGGTTACTCCATAGTACCTGACAAAATGCACCTTAGACTGTTAAAGGAACTAGCGCACTTTATCGCGAACCCCTTATGGATGTGTTTTAGTCTATTTGTAACCCAAGGCAGGTTATCAGAAGACTGGATGAACGTCAGTGTAAGTCCTATCTTAATTACAGGTACAAACACAAACCTGAGAAATATAAACCCGTAAGCCTAACTAACGTGGCTGAAATAAACTTAGAAAAGATTATCTAAAAGTTGTTTGAGCATCTAGACGAAAATCGAATTCTTTCTGATAAGCATCATGGCTTTAGACACAGGTAATTCGCGCCTCTCAGGCGTACTATTACCGTGTAAAAGTTGGTTCGCCCTCAAAGATCAAACGTTAACTGTAGACGTAGCCTTCATTGACTTCTGTGAAGCGTTTGACAAATTTCCGCTCAATCGGCTGTTATCTAAGCTTAGGCCTATCGAGATTGGAGACAATTAATTTATGTGGACAAACGATTCCCTTATTGTATGCCAACTAAGAGTGCAGATTGACTTCAAGTTGCCTATCCGGGAAACTGTGCTTAGCGGAGTGCCATAGGGTACATTTTTGCTACCAGTGTTGTTCTACCTATATGCAAATGACTAATCTGGTCACTTATCATCACCGGTTTGGTCATTTGCTGATAATTTCAAGATATGGAGAGCGATAAAAATGATTATAGTTTGAAGCTTCGAAATTACCTACAGCTTTGTCTGATTGGTCTGGTATTCGGCAGTTACTGATAAATGCTTCCAAGTGCATTTGATACATACTGGTCATCAATGTACCGAAACATACATGATGAGTGACATTGAGCTACCTAGAAGTCATAAACAAAGAAAACTTGAGAAGTAATGCACAGTGCTATGAAATAGCTACCAAAGGTTTTAGAGTCCTATGGTCAATACATAGAGACTTTATCCACGTTGATGTCAAAACTTTTTTGACTTTACGTACAGCATTCGCTAGTCCCAAACTCGAGTACTGAATACAGTTGGCTGGTTCATGTTTAAGAAGTCAATCAGCTGTCGGAAAACGTTGAAAGAAACGCAAGTAAGCCTATTTCAACTCAGTGAAGCGTGGCCTAAAAGGATGTTATAATACTATTATGATCTCCAATCATATGTAAATAATGACGGTAGCGTGAGTTTTGATTAACCCGCCGATTATATCCGTTTTACAAACGGTACAGAGAAACAACAGATATGGAATATAAATATGATTACACAAAAAGCGGCACAGATAACGAAGAAATTGCGTTTGTTATTTTATCGTTACAAAATTCATTGGGTGTATATGTATATGACTGTCTAACAGTAACACACCGACGGAAGGCAAATATTGGGGGGGGGATAGCGCGGGATTTGGCCAAAGTTTCGTTTGTTTCTTGAATTTCCAACCACTTTGATGCAGGTAATTTTTTAAGAAGATCTAATTCTTCGATCCTGGCTACGGTTCAGGACTTTTGGTTTATAGTGGTATAGTGATGTGTTTGTGCTCTTGTAGATTGACAAGTTACTTGTGATACCAACTTCAGTTTCTGACTGGTATTTAGTATATACGTTAGTTTTGATGCTTCAGTAGATGTCACTGCATTTTAAGGTCGAAGGTTAATCATAGTTTTTTAAAACTGTTTCTTGATGACAGTGAACGCAGTTGTGTGGTCAAGATCTCAAATAGTTTCAGTCAAATTATTGTAGTAATGAGTTTTTACCCATATACTAAATGCACGTAAATTTTAATCATTTGCGCACGTATATATGCAAGTATCAATTTTCAAACAAAAGATTCGGTTCATATGTGTGTTCATTTAAAGGACGGTGCTTAAGGTTGCATCCAGTATGTTTTATAAAGCTAGTAAATAAAATAAAATGGAAAGACTGATTCTTTTGCGTAGATCTCACAGGTCAATACGTGAATCTGAAGTACTATGTAATTGGATGTTCATAGCTGACATCGAATGTACTAATGCATTCTAATTGACTACTAAACTTCGAAATTCTAGCGCAACTAAAAGTTTACTCTTAAGATAAAAGGTATTTGATTTGTAGATTATAATTAAGTTAATTATATCACATAGGCTTCTGTTAGTCATTTAACTTAAAGTTTGTTGGTTTTTGTCACGACAGGAAATTTGTATCTTCTGGGGACAGTCCGAACATAGTAAATATCAACTTTCATATGGCTAAGCAAAACTTGGGACTTCTAACCAAAACTTTTTTCTCTGTAGGTGAATATCAATCCTGACGTTAACTGCCTCACTTCAGTTTACGTACAAGACAACCTTGTTAGGGAGCCTGGTCGACTGAATTCAAAGTAGTTATTACTGTCACTAGATTTTTATGTTCCATCTAAAGTGGATGAAAACGTTCATATGAATGCGTTAATACTTTAGTACGTTAATTGTTCCTAATGAAAAGCACAAATATAACCATAAATATTTGTCAAAATACCATTCCTGTTATTCGATTCCTTCATTAACTCAGTTACCATAGTGTTCTTGTTAGGGTTTGAGTCTATCGTATGATAAGGTATGTAAATAATTATTGGGGAAATATGGTGTGTATGGACTAGTCAATTGATACTTTGCTATCAATCATGAGTGAGTCATGTTTAAGAACACGTTTGGACCACTAGTTTGTTATTTCGGCTGCTTTTTATGATGACCTTGTTTCCATTGTCTCCAGATGGACTTAATGCATTTTGCCAGAGTAATAGTCTTATCACTGTGTCATAATTTCAATATTTTCAGATTTAGTCGTTCACAAAGAATGGAATTAAGTTTCTGAGTATTTCCAAAAAGCTACAAAAGTGCTCTAATCAGGTTAACAAGTTGGGATAGTCATGTAGTGACTAATTATTGCGCGATATTATCATTAAAATCGTCAAAGTGATTTTTTAAGACTCAGAAGAGAAAGTCTTTTTATTCCTGAAACGACATCTTTTATGTTGGTCATTTTCGCTTAACAAACTCCTTTGCAAACATAATCTAACTTGTAACCGTACTTAATGTCGTTTCTATTGACATCTCATTTAAGTGCTTTAGTGAAACGTTTGATATGATCCATTATAATTCTCGAAAACGCTAAAACTTTCAATCAAAGATAATTGACCGTTGGTATGTGGTCGTTGGCCTCTCTTACCGTACTTGCATCAAGTTATATGAGTTAAAGCATTCTTAGAAGTCCCACCATAACAGAAAGTTCGATTGCTCTTAGTTACCAAGCTATATTAAATCAGGTTGAAAATTGCAGCAATCGAAGTGGGATGGAGTTCGGGCTTGAAATTCAATGAATGAGGGCTATTGAGTTGAAAATCTACTATTGGCATCCTGGCGACTCAGTAACACTTTGTTTAGGTATAGATGTTATCAAGTCATGTTGAGACTAAGTTAGTAATCACTTGTGTTCTGTTCTCTACAATCGACGTTGTGGTTTGCGGTTTACACACTTTCACCTATAACATTTTAGGTCCGAATTCATTTCTATTTACCCTAATACTATATTAGCAATAAAGCGTGATTCTAGATTACGGTTATACTTTATGGTTTAAAGTATGCCTATGGATTTGGTGCTTTTGTTTATAGGCTGCGAACAACTTCAGTGTGTTTGATAAGCAACTTCTAATTCACCTAATAAGTATTTTTATTGGAAGTGGAAGCAAAATATGCTGACTTTTTTGTGTATATTAATGGGACCAAAATTTTGTCCTTATTTTTAGCCACGACATTTGGACAAGTCAGACGAATCATCTAACTTGTCGGACGATGATTATGTTCCTTATATACCAGTGAAGCAACGTAAACAACAAGAGGTAATGTGCTTCATCTTTCATTCGGTGTTATATTTGATAATAATCCTCAGTTTTAAGTGTTTGAGGAGACTACGAAAAGCTGAATATTCTTATGTTTGGATTACCATAGAAAGTAGTTGATTTTTAAACAATATAAATAAGTGTTTCACTGATTAGATTTGTGTGAGGGCTTGAATACTGCCCGGGTACCCAGATCGAAGGAATTGATTTTCTTAGGGGGCCACACTCAGAGCTTTCGACTTAAAGGCTTAATCCACAAGGCAGTGAAGCAACGTAAGGAGATGTAATCCCATGGTAGCTGGTGACCAACAGTTATTTATACGCCATTTGTTCCTTTAAGATCCTGGAGCCCATTTACACCATTGATTTGGAACCAAGGTTTTCCAACTCCCCTAGATGAGTCCTCCATATCCACCATCCCGGTTAAAGCGCCAGGCATCCGCTTTCTGTCCTTTCATTTTCGTGAACAACAGTAAGTAGGACTTCCCTGGCAAAATGCCAAATAGTTGATATGCATTTGATCGTAATGTGAATCCTGAAAAGAAGTTAGTGTATCAATCGCTAACTCGACTGGTTATGTAAACATCAGATGGAACGAGTTATTACTAATATCTTAGGGTTGATGCTCAACTTCGGACTACCTCTCGGAAGTTGTTCTGCTTATTTTGTCTACGTCATAGTCACCTACTAAGCTTGGACCGTATTTGTGAAAGTTAGTGTGGGCTTTTTCTGTTAAAATGAAAAGTAAAACTGTCTAATATCAGATTCGGTATACAACTTCAAAATATGTTAGTTCTTGTTTCTATGGTTGATATCAAGTGTTCGTTTTGACTATATTTCTTACTGTAATATCATATCAGTCTATTTGACAAAGGGATCATCATGAATTAGTTTTTGTCTCAATAATTAGCTATCGGTTCATTCAATGTGATTTGAGATACAGTTAACATAAGCTTCTCAACCCGAGATAAGTGGGATGAAGTTCATTCCTCACCTGTTAAAAATGTACTTCTAATGGTATCGGGTGGATAAACAATAAGCTGAAATCCAAACAAAATTGTTTGTTATTAAATATTTGTTGAGTGAATGTTCGGTCATTTAAATACATACATCAGTTCAATCCAATATCAGATAATTTTGTTTGACTGCTTCTGTTTAGAAGTTTTACAGGTGACCAGAAGGCCGTTTCAAGCCCGAATAGTTACCATTTATAATAATAATTATTATAATGGCAAAAATAATAGTTGTTATACTCGCACTATTTAATACCATATCTTGATTATAGTGAATTCTCAGCACGAAGTTCGCGGGATTTCACAGATATTCCCGTTTTATGATCATTTAACTCGTAAATATTAAAAAAACTAACTGGCATTCATAGTCACAAATATTTATGATCAGGCTTGTACTCATGATATCTCATCACCAGATCGGTTTTTTATGTGAATCTTGCAGTAAGCACTCTCGTTTCTCCAAAAAACCAGGAAGGGAATATACGAACTACTATTATGGTGCTCCTTGAGTTTGTCAGCGACTAGATTTGCGATAGGTTATGAACATTTCATGAAAGCACGTGGGTACATGCGGTTAACTGACATAGTGAGTTTAAGAAACCCCAAAACAGGAAAATTTATAACAATAAACACATGTTTAGGAAAATATTGATTCTAAAGTCTGAACAGACTGCCGCTTCGGTCACTTTTTCAGTTTTATGATACTTGGTTTGGTAGTGCCCAAATGAGATTTGATCTCTTTACCCTTTCGAAAATTATTGAGGAACTTGGGTAACCCATCAACTGATTACGAATTATTGTTTTGGTTTTGAATCACTTTTATCGTACCAGAACTAGGAAGATATTGCTGACTTGTTCAAATCGATGAAAATAAAATATGATTTAAACACATACAACTCTGTCAAAACTACTGATCCATATATGCACTGTTGGACGTTTTTAGGTCTAGCCAGTATATTCATTAAAATGAGGCTCGTGTTGTATATAAACTAGACGAGCTCAGCGGTTTAAGGACTGATGGGTTTGAATTTCAAGCATTCGATCTCAGGTTCGAGTCTCATTTCACCCATTTAAATAAAAAAAAACTGGGTAATATCATCACCCTTTGTATAAAATAGTGTTCTCCAGAGTTTGATCACTAAGTTATCAAAACGAACTGTTTGCTTATACCAGACGTATAAACGTAATTTTGTGTTAGTAATAAAGTTTCTGTGCCACTAGTTTCATTAGTCATAAGTATTCTATTTCTCCCACTTCAGCTTACTTCACTGCAGCGTGTATTAGGTAATCTTGCGTACACTGAAGTGCCTGAGGAGGAACTAGACCAGGGTAATACAGCAGAACAAGTTGAAGATGATCCGGAGGGTATGACAAAAAAGTCATCTGATGACAAACATCATGGACCTAATGCCCAGGGTAGTTTATTTGATAGAATGTGGGAATTAAAGCGAAAAGCTGAAGGTATACTCGTCTGGAGTTTTTTGTTGACATAATTTAGAAAGAAAGGAAACAGAACGGGATAAAAAATTAAAGGAAGAAGCTAAGATTTTAGAAAGTGTTGCTGAAAAGACCGCTTTAAAAGGTGTTGCAGAACTAGCAAAAGGTATCCAGTATGATAAACCAATTCAAACCAGGTACAGTAGTAAAACAATAATAATTTTTATTTTAGCTGGGTACCACCTGTATATATCCGGGAACAAAGTGAAGAGAAATCTGCAGAAATCCGCAAAAAGTTTCGAATTTTAACTGAAGGTGATGATGTACCTGCTCCTATTCGACATTTTAATGAAATGTGTTTTCCAAAGGCTTTAATTGATTTACTAAAACTACGTGGGATAACAAAACCTACACCGATTCAAATGCAAGGTTTACCAGCTGTATTAAGTGGTCGAGATATGATTGGAATTGCATTCACCGGCTCCGGAAAAACAATGGTGTTCTCAATACCAGTTATATTATTTTCTATGGATCAAGAACAGAAAATTCCATTTATTCAAAATGAAGGACCTTATGGTTTAGTTTTAGGTCCATCTGTAAGTTAGATTAATTTCTGTTTGATATCATTTTTTGTTTTATTATATGGTTATGAGTTTTCAATTAGGTAGTTTTTATCTATCATTTTGTTTGTCACTAACTTTTTCTTTTAGGCATAGGTAATAATAGGGACCTAGATTTCGAATGTTTCTTTAGCAAACATATGCACTATAATATATTAGTCTACCTCGTTAGTTTGCTATTTACATAATCGTGCAGTGTTATGCGTTTGTGCATTATTTCGACTTTTTATTTCTTTGAGCAAGAATATCGATCGGATGTCTAGGATGATAATCTTCTTAAATCAGAAACAAAGGTATACAACTTATACATTTATATTGCGCAGTTCATCTCAATGAGTATTTTTAATCATGTGTCTTTCGTTCTACAGATGATATCATGATTATCTAAGTTTGATCATTATCCTTCAATGTGGAATTCCATTAGGGCTTTTCACATAGCTAATTTGTGATGAGACATTATGTGACGAACAGTAGCTCGTGTTTGAAAATTTATCTAAATTATTTTCTAATGTGCGTTAAATCCATGATGCTTTCTGTCATCCGCTGTAGTGGATTTGCGGGTTTTATTGTTTATTGTTAATTCATTGGAGGTTGTCAGTAAGTAACTACGAGTCCAGAGAGGGATTGGTCTTCAGTCAGATAACTCAACAACACCTCTAACAGTAGTACTAAAGACTTGGTTTGACAGTTGTTAGTTTCATATTGCTTGAGCACGTTTCACATACAAATTATTATTGTAGTGTTAAACAAAATCGTAAAAAATCCCATGCGCTCTTTGATGACTATCCTCTAAAGACTTCCTAAACTTCCAAAGAGTTAATAAAAATAACGTAGGGACTATTACAGATGTACATCAGTTCAATTCGCCACATATCAACACATTTAAATGAAATCAGCGAGCTGCTTAGCAAACGGAGTCGAAGTGATAATGTCTGTGATCGTAAAGAATACGATTTGAAAAGTAGAAACGGATTATCCGGATAAAAATTAAACAAGACTGTATGGTTACTAGCTCAACTGATTTATTATGTGTGTAGGGGATGCCTTTTATTTAAAGGAGGTTTGTAATAAATCGAAAAGGAATTCCGAACATTGGTTTTGTGCTATTTAGTAGTTATCAGGAAGGCAAAAGGTTCCCTAAGAAAACCACCTGCTTCGGCCTAGGCACCCGGGCAGCATCACAGCCCACACAAAAAAGTGGTGAACTGTCTATTTATGGAAAATATTCTTCTTGCTCCGAATAACAATCAAATGACTCACATTATTACCATTATTATTATTATTATTATTATTATTATTATTATTATTATTATTAATTATTTATTATTATTATCATTTATTGTCTACTAAAATTGTGTTAAATAATTCTTTATTTTTTGTAATAAGTCTCTAATGAATTATTAGTGAGTGATCTTTGTAAGTAATAAATAATACTATTTCTTCTATACTAGCGTGAATTAGCTCGACAAACACATGAAGTAATCTGTAGCCTTATTGATGGTTTAGTCAAATCTGGTTTCCCGTCTATTCGTTGTTGCTTATGTATTGGTGGCATGGCTGTTAAAGAACAAGCAGATATTGTTAAAAGATCTGGTGTTCATATTTTGGTTGCTACACCAGGTCGTTTAATAGATTTACTTCAACGTAAAATGATTAATTTGGAAGTATGTCGTTATCTTGTTTTGGATGAAGCTGACAGAATGATTGATATGGGTTTTGAAGAAGAAGTCCGAACTATATTCTCCTATTTTAAGGTAAGAAATTAAATTTTTTCATTCATCAATATATATATATATATATAATTATTGCATAGACATTATGTAGATTGAAATTAGCTGAATCAAGAGTATATTAGTTACGTTCCACAACATCCAATTAAGATATACACGCTTTTTGTGAGCTTGTCAACTAGTGGTGTGAACGAGAAAACTGGAAAACAACTAGAAATCTTTTAGGTTTATACATTTGTCTGCTTGACCTGCATAAGGCCATGTAGGTTCATTAAGTGGATAATCGACTTATTTCAACAGCTTTTTTTATTGAAGAAATAAATTAAATTAAATTTTTAGCATCTACGTAAACTTTCTGCACAATAATATTTTACTGATTGAAATGCAATGTAACAATTAACTAATTGTTTTGTACTCATATTATGTTGAATGCCATTATTCAGGGACAACGTCAAACACTTTTGTTCTCTGCTACTATGCCGAAAAAAATACAAAATTTCGCTAAATCAGCCTTGGTGAAACCCGTCACTGTTAATGTTGGTCGAGCTGGAGCAGCTAGTATGAATGTCACTCAGGAAGTAGAATATGTGAAACATGAAGCGAAAATTCCTCATTTACTTGATGCTTTACAAAAAACTCCACCTCCTGTAAGCTTTCTCCTCTTATTTTAATATATATATTACTGGTTAGCATTTCTAAGTGTTACCTTATCAAAGAGGTTTATTTTTTAAATTACATTTGTTAAAATTCTGTATAAGTACTCCACTAAAGCAAAGGCAATAAACTCAAATTTATACAAAAATAAGGTAAAGAATAAGCAAACATATTTTGTCAACTTTTAAGGCACATTTTTAAGTGTTTATATCAGCGTTTTTGTACTGTCGCCACTGCAAACTGATCCCCGTCCTCGTTTTGATATATAATCTAAATCTTTGTAACTTTTCAAACCACGGTGGTCTGTTCACTTTATTCTGAATCGCTTTTTTTGTTTCTATTTATGTGTGCACAAACATTTACCTATCTTGTTTAAAATTTGTCTTAAAAAATATTCTATTCGTAACTAAAATAAAATAACAGACCCTATCCACCTGTCAAAGATAAGTAAGTACTGGTAGTTACGCTTCATCTATTGTTAGTTCAAAATTACACTAGGGATTTTTATAACTAAGATAACAAAAAGTATATTCAGTCTCACTATCTAATAAATAAACATTTCGCCTAGTTGTTAAGCATATGAATGTACAATGTGAATTCTTTTCTCATAATTTGTCAGTTGTTTACAGTGTACAACTTGAGTATTTATTTGTTTCACTGTAATGGAGCATATAATTTAAAATTACATCTGAATCGCCACTGGTTTTTTATTTTGAGCTATGTCTGGTAGAGTACCTGAAGTCATTGAGTTGGATGAATTTTAAAATCACAACCAGGTAATCGTGATAATCTGACAGATAGCAATCTATTATAGTTATCTTCTGTACCATGGTGCCATGTCATGCACAAACTCAACCCATCTCCATTTTTACTATTCATTTCGAGAGTCGTTAAATAGTATGCCATATGGAAGCCAATAAAACCTAAAGGTCTTGGGTATAACTCACAAAGAGTTTGACTATGCATATATGTCCAAATGTTCTTGGATAAGATGTATCTCAACTTTCTAGAAGTTAGTTAATTCCATTGGTTCATAAAGTTATAAAAATGTTTTAATTTCATCAAAATTTTGATTTATTTATAAAAAATTTGTTGTTTGTTTTGGTTATTTAGTTTTCAGTATAATTCATAATTTTTCTTGCTTTAATTCGCTTTCTTTTAATTGGGAAGCTTGGCTAACATTGTTTTTAATGAACTAGGAGCTCATCCAATAACATATTGATTGATATCATTAGTGAATGAAATATTCGTACTTAATGTTTACAATTCATTGCTAGTTTTTGATACAAAAAATATATTTCTGTATTTTATTTCAGTTTTAAAATTTTATCAAGTAATTTTTTAAAATTTAAAACAGGTTATTATATTTGCTGAGCGTAAACAAGATGTGGATGCTATACATGAATATCTTCTTTTAAAAGGTGTTGAAGCAGTTAGTATTCATGGTGGAAAAGATCAAGATGAACGTGTATCAGCTGTTACAGAATTTAGAGCTCATCATCGTGATGTCTTAGTTGCTACAGATGTGGCTAGTAAAGGTTTGGATTTTCCAGAAATTAATCACGTGATCAACTATGATATGCCTGAAGATATTGAAAACTATGGTTAGTTTAATATTGATAATAATTTGATGAAATTACTTTCTAAGTAAAAGTTGAACTTAGTAGGTCATTGGGTAATACGCTGGGCATTTGAAGTGAAAGATTACTGGATCCGAGTCTTGGAATAAATATCGACTCTAGGATGTGCTGATATCGAACAAGACTATAAGTTAAAGGATTGTTTGTTGAGGGAAATTACAAAGCGTTTATATAATACATTTGCATAGCCTTCGATCATGCATTTGCATTTTGCGGTGTGCTTTGCAATCTAGTTAGTTCTAAACTGTCTTCTCGCATGGTTATCAATTGTCCTGCTTATGCTGTGCTTTTGATGTACCGAAACTGTTTTTCGTCTTGCGGCTGTGACAACTTCGGCTCCACGTTTCGGTTCATGCTATTTATAAGCAATTTTGTCCACCACAATTGTAAGTACCTCTGTCTGACGAGTTCCAACTATGACAGAAAACACATCCTGAATTCCTCTACTGATCAATGTCCTTCTTTACCTAAGATACTTATGACTCAATGGTAATATTGAGGTAATCTGCTCAGGAAACACATGTTCCAAAAGAGACTGATCAAAATTCAATCCCTAACATCAACAGCGGGAAGATTCAAAAGTTTACAAACAAAATAACTACCATAGATAAACTCTTTATATGAAGTTAACAGTAATTATTACTAACATGTTTATTCATAATTAAATACATGGTTTTCCTTAGACAAAGTTATGCAGCATGCGTAATGTAAATACAATTGGACACTGTCGTTGTTTATACTAGGAATTTATATTTTGTAAATACTAACAAGATACTCACTTGAGTGATTTATTTACAACATGTCTGTTACAATGCTTACTTTTTGAAGTGATGAAAATATTAGGGATATGAAAGAAATTCCTCATATGCACCAAGACACGCAATAAACCATCTATAATAATCATCTGCTTTCACAGCATCATAAATCCATTATGTCAAGTAACTGATCACTCTTAATCTTCTTTCTTTTCATTATTTCTTCCTTCCCTATTGAGTCTTTAACGTTGAAGTTGACATTGAATGCTGATAAGTCATGATGTTTTGATCATTGATAAATTTTTTGCTTCTGAAATATAGGTGCGATATAGTGTGGTGAGTAGTGGTGGCTTAATGGCTAAAGCAATTGACATTCAGTTACTGGCTTTTCAGTTCAAACCCTTGTCAACTTACTTCTCTATTGTCGGCCTAGTAGTATTGCTTACTGTAAATAAAAGTAATTTGTCTAAAAGCCAAGTACATGAAACTGAACTCGGAAACAGAGTTGGATTGAATTTCTTATTAAAATCTAAATTTATGACTATCTAATCTTTCACATTTTATATGGCTCATTACTAATTAACAGTTGTTATGATGCCTATTAGGAGGATACCATAACTTGTTTTAAAGCTAAATAAATGATTTATCTACTGGTATCTCAGTTCTTACTCCCTAGTCATCAATAATTCACTGAACAGATCAGTGGAAGTTACATGTTTCTTCGATATTTTTTTATTCATGATATATTTGCTCATGGTTATAAAAGCAGGTTGGTTAATGAAAACATTTATCATGAAGTCTAATTTTCTTGGCAATTTCAAAAATTTATAATAATCGTACGTAGTACTAGAAACTAGTGTCAGTCTTAAAAGTATAACTAGTCGACTAATTTTTGTGTTGTTTTCTCTTGTTCATTTTAGTACATCGCATCGGTCGTACTGGTCGTGGTCATCAACGTGGGTTAGCCACAACATTTATCAACAAATCAGTGGATGAATCCACTTTATTAGATTTAAAGCATTTACTCATAGAGGCTAATCAACATGTGCCAGAATTTCTTGTTGAATTGGCATCAGCTACTGAAGTTGAACTTGAAATGGGTGGTGAAGTTGGCTGTGCATATTGTGGTGGTTTAGGTCATCGTATAACACATTGTCCAAAATTAGAAGCAATGCAGAATAAAGCTGCTATTAATCTGGGTCGTAAAGATTTCTTGTCTTCTGCAGATTATTAACAAATTATCATTATTATCATTATCATCTGATAAGCTGAATACAGCCAGACATTTGATAGTTACTGTAAATAATTCATAAATTTAATTTGTAAATAAAATCTTCAATTGACGTTCATGCTTTTTCTTTTTCCTTGTCTTGGTTCAAAAGTTTAAATTTCAAGTTTGTTTTTCTTCAAAATCATGAAAGGAATTATCTCAAGTTTAATATACTGTTATATTACTGCATATACTATATTTAATCATATCTAAATACTGTGATTCACGAATGAAAGTTCATTTTTGGTCTGTAAATTGTCAGAATATTTTCTTTGTAAATATTTTCTCGGTTCACATTTAGTTGTACTGTATACACATGTTTTTTACTACTTAGAAACCAATAGTTCTAAAATAAATCGAATGAACTTCGATCTGAGAAGAAGGATTTACTGATTTAGTCACCATACTTTACTGAATTCTTTACTTTCCCTTGGCAAGTAAGTTCTTCATTAATTTATTCGAAATGTATTACAGGAAAATATAATCTCTCAGATTAACTCCATCTATTCACTACATTTTCGATGCTAAATTCTTAGATATTGTGAAAATCGGTATTTGTAACAATTACATACTTCTAATTATCAGACTTTCCGTTATAAAGAAACCTGTAGATTTGTTTGCTACAAAAATAGGATCGTGTATAGTTCACAACTTTTGCTCAATTCTATCCTCCGTCCCATTAGTTTCAAAAGTTAAGAGAGTAAATATACTTTATTTCTCTGTTCATTTCATCCAGTGTATAGAGTTCACTTTCACATATCTTCCTAATAATTTCCCGATATATGTGTGTGTGTTTCCCAATCACTGGATACACATATTTCTCCTCCAGAGAATAACCTATTAGTCATTCGTTTAGGTTGATGAGGTTGATTTTATATCTATAATAATTATTACTCGCAAATTCTTTCAGTCCTTGGTAATTTAGGAGTAATGATATTGATGTATTGTATATAATCCCCTGAATACAGTATCACTACTTATTCTGATCAAGAAACTTTTTCTTAAAAAGTAATAGTATAAATCGTTTAGACTTAAATTGGAAGAATTAATTAATATAATTTTTATATCGGAAACCAATAACTAAATAATCCAGTTACTTGATGTTATTTCCGTATAAATGTCTGGCCAAAGCTCATCAATTATAAATAAATAATAGTTTGTTTTATCCTCAGAAAATGCTTTTATACATTTGATAGAGATGTAATCTGTATTAAAAACGGGATAGGACGTATTATTTCATTTATATCAATGTATTACTGAAAAGTTAGCCAGTATTATGTTATCATCTAATGAATTATAAATTCTGCATTGAGTCCCAGTTTCAATCCTGAAACTTAATTTTGAAACTGGATGAACTGTACAACTAAATAATTTGTGAAAATTTGATAAATTAGAAAACACATTGTTTTTCACACGTCGAGCAAGCTGATAACCAGAGGGAAATGGTAGGTTGCCTGAATCTTAATGTCCATTAGCTTTACTTGGATAATCGTAACTTGTGTTGCTAGTTAGAATTAATAATAAATGGTTACTGATGATACTAATAGGTCGAGATTAGTAAGTTTATTTTGAAAGGGGTGATGTGTACACTGAACAAGAACATTTCGTTTCTTTACAGTTTACAGAACTTTTTGGATGACTATATGTAAATAGTTCCGGTTTTCTGTTTGTTTATTTTTTAAAATTAAAGCCAATCCATAATGCAAAAATGTATTACTGTTACTACCATAATATAATAATAATAATAATAATAATAATAATAGTAATTACAATAACAATAGTTCATTGAAAATCCTTATTGCTTAGCTTTACTTTTAACAAAAATAGTACTGACAATAAGATTGTTTTGGGAGTAGCAGTTAAAATTAAGGTGGAATGAAACATGGTTCACCAATATCATGTATATCTATCTACTTAAAAATAAAAATTGTGTACTGTTATGGAGAACTGTAAACAGAACGGAGTACCAGAGTTTTCTCCCAATGTATTATGTTTTATTTTGAACTCGTTTTAGATATCTTGTTATAGTGATCCTTTTTGAAAAATACACAGCCAAAATAAGTAGTATTAGCAGTAGTAGTAAGCAAATAACCAGAAGAATTATTGAAATCGGATGTACTGTATTGGAGGAAAAAGCATAGAGCAATTTGAAAGAAGATAACATAGGGTATTTTGTAATAATAATAATAATAATAATAATAATAATAATAATAATAATAATAATAATAATAATAATAATAATGATTGGTATCAAATATGCTACATTTTAAATTTCATAAATGTATCAAGATTTACTTGATAATATTTTTGATACGCGTTTTTAATGCAATCGCTCAATGAAATAGAAAATGGAAGGAACTTGTGATTTCTTTGTTTAGTTTTACTCAACCACTTGGGTTCAGTTCCCGTTAATTCGATGAATGGGCACGATATGAATCATGACGAGATAAAACTCCAGTCTAATGCCTCCTGTTTTTTATTTGTTTTGATGTGTTTCGTGAAAGTAAGTTGTGATTGATTACTTAGCAATGGTACATGCCCACTCTGTACTTAGTAATATATTTATCTGTATTTTGACTTTGATCTCTATTCTGAGTTGCACTTAATGTTGGCTGCCTGCAGTCAAGTTAATAAAACTTGGCCGGAATAGTGTATCATGTGGCATAACCTAGTGACGTAATAATATGGTGTTTGACTAAGTATCGTAATCTAGTTTGTCCAGTTTGTTATTCAGTGTCGTGTTAATGCATTATCACCAGATAGTAAGTTTCATTTGTATGTTAACTGTTTAGTGGAGCTTAGTAATTAACACATTTCCGGTTTCAAAAGGTTTCATTTGGCTAATATTTAAAAACCATTAACTAGTGGGCATATAATTTAGTATATTCAAGGATTACACTTTTATATGATATTATAGCTGCACTTAGGGTTGAACTCAGATATCCTTTCGTTTTTATAAAAAGCTCGTTAATAACTTACATGTACAATACTCTGAACGACTATATCCTCCTACTTTTTTCCATCCAAATCTGCATGCACAACTGATTCCATTCATCGTATTTACGCAATATGAATACGATGGGCAAATCGATTGACAATCCTCACATGTTCTTCTCACTGTATTAGCTGGAATGCGAATGGTAAAGAATTAGTCAGATGCATATGCATTGCTTAGGAATAACCAAAAAAGAAATATGCTATGTTTGATAGTGATTCCAAAGTTTAGTATAGTGACCTAAATCATATTATTCTTCAGAAAATATAAACTGAGTGAAATAATCATAATATTTTGTATTCCTATCAATTTCACTAACAACAGGCCTACTGTTACTGTATTCCACATAAGATCAAATTTGTAGAGGTTAATTTCCTCTATATCTGACTCCAATAAATTGTATCCCGTTAACTGAATATTTAATGCAGGCTTTATCTCCTAGTAGAATTATGGATTTACTCGAGATTATTCAAACGCTCGAACATCAGTTATAGAGATAGTTTATCATACACATAGTTCCCTTTATCATTTTGAAAAGAGAAAGAACAAACATTCTAGCAGAATAGTATGAATTCATTTTTATTTCGTTGGTTCTCGTCAGCTGCTTACAACCTGTGATATTTAGAATCAATTAATGGGTTTAAATTACTTACATGAAAGAGTTTGATTGGAAGTTATATGGAAGACATATTCGTATAGTATAGTATAGCAAGGGTGTAAATAAATTTATACCTTATGTGATGAAAGAACATTGTGACAACAGTTCAAACGGCTAGTTTATTGTTAAAAATTGGTAAAATCCGTAAGCACACAGGGAAACCAAGAGTGTGTGTGTCTATATGGCTGTTAAAAATCCATATGTATTTATGAGTCATAATCAAGTGTGGATAAATTATTAGATGTCTATGTATTGCAACCAATGGGAGAATAGATTAAAGTTGATGTGCAGACATGTGCTCAATCAGACTCACACAGAAATTTACATAGTGGATTAAGTGTCTAAATTACAGTGAGCAGATAAATAATACAGTAGTGGAATGGGCTTAATACAAAATAAATACGTAAGTTTGCATGTTTCCAAAACAACCAATTAAAACACTAGAAAGCCAAATACCATGGTTGAATGAACTATTTTGCTGATTTGAATATTTAAATGAAATACGAGAGCAGAGTGCATTAATGATTCAAACACATTATTCGGACGTTCTTGATATAAAGCTAAATAGCAGATTTCTGATTAATGGACCACGATTTATGGAATTCAAATCATAAAGTTATTTCTAATTATTCTTACATAGCGTATTAACGCTACACTAATAATGGTATGTTTATGTGGGTTCATATAGAGGCGGATAACTCATCTATTAAAAGATTTTGTGAAAATATTTAAAATCAACTAACTTTATCTCTACAGAAAAAAAATGTTGTTACATTTATTTACATCAAAATGTTTCATTAAATGGCGAAGTTCTTTTCAGTTTCTCATTATTATACAATTAATTCTTATTAATAAGTTGTTTGAAGTACTATTCAACGATTAATGTGTTACATTTTGTTATGCTTTATTTGATTAGTTAGTTAGTATTGTGGTGAACGAGAACACAAATGGGGACAATCGAATGTATTTGAATATAAAATTACATAACATCTTAGTAAAATCTGAGAACCATACAGTATATAATTGATTTGCAAAATGTCAATCAGTCGTCTCAGACTTCATAATAATTTTTTATTTCCCGACTAATCATTCTCTGTTCTCGTTCTCTTTCCTTTAATCTTCTTAACCTTCTGCCACTAGACATTTCACTTTTGATTAATGATACATACTACTTATATCTGTCGACATCAGTAGCACAACAAAGTATGTTCCCTGATTTGCATCGATTCTTCAACTGATTACTATCAAAAGTAAGAATTATTTTCAAGCTGTACAAATCCCTACAAACTATTAGTTTGTGTTAATTGACTGAAGAGAATGAGCAACCAAAAAAAAAACAATTGATCCCTTATAGAAACCTATAGCATTTATTTTTTCCACTAATATTTTGCATGTATGTTATTTTATTGAAATAAAACTTGTTCCACTGGGGAACGATATTATCTTCTATTATCAATTCATTCGAGGGCTTAAATTAATAATTCAGTCGTGTGAGCAGCAATTGTTCGACCACAGTACATCTCATAGTATATCATCTATTGACCAGTATTGTTTTCTTTCATTTTAACAATCGGAAACGTGTTCCCAAAAAAATTCAACTCTATAAAATAAATCAATTAAAATAGATAAAATAAATAATATTTTGGTAAACTAATGAACATTCAGTCAAATAATAACTTACAAATGATTTTAACATGAGCTTTACTGAAGTTTTTTCCATTAATATGAAATTTGTTGTTTTGTTTCAATGTTCCAAGTAAAGTTCCATCAGATAGTTGTGTTGCTTTAATTGAATCATAAACTATATCGGTCACAGCAAACATGGTTTCTTGATCTGATGGAATAAATTGAACAACACTACAATAAGGCCTTTCATAACTTGGCATTTCCCCAGTTGTTACTTGTTCCATAATCT